TTCCTTCACCTTCTCAGGAACAACAGCTGCCGATCAACCTAAGACCCTGTGATAATGACATCATCTTTGCACAAGTGGAGTCTCATCAACCAATAGGATCAGAATAGACTAAAACCTTCTAATCTGAAAGCTACCACTATGCCAAAAGGCTCAGGATTTAAAATTGGGTTAAGATCTGCTGGAGTGGACACCCTGATCTTCCAACAGCTTGCTGACTCTTTAGCAAGATCAAGGGTAACAAAAAATTAGCTACTTAATAGGGCTTCTTATATGTCTGCACTTGACTGTGTTTGTACTTCTCCCTTCATTCCAAAACCTTTTGAATGTAGGGGATTTCTTTCCATTTTAATAAAATTCACTGATTGTTGCTGTCAAAGCAAATAGAAAAATGAACCATTTCCCCCCCTCCCCCCAAATTTTGGGGACATGTTGCATATTGCTGTTTAAATCAGACAAGATGATCCATGCAGAACTTCTCATTTCATGACAACAAACCTAGTATAATTAGTAGCTTGTGCTCTCTTCTTGATGATATCTATTGGATGTTTCATGACCTTTTTTTTTGGCACAAAGTGGCCTCTCTCAGACTCAAACCTGAGTCATCATGCTTGTCAGCCCAAGATTTACAGACCTTCAACTTTTGGCGTTGTTGAGCTCTTTGTACATCAATCAATTCATGGTCATACTATGTGTTTTTGATATACTCGGAGATGTACAAGGTTCAAAAAAAATTGTAGGTGTAAAAGGTAGATTTATTGCTCTTGTTGTTTTTTATTATGAGAATTTTGATATCTTGCAAATGTCTCCTGTCTTTTCCTCAATGTATTATATATTTTGATCTCTTCTCTGTTTCGGTTAGAATCTAATTGTCGATCATTTTAGTAATACAATCTGATATCTTTTGCAGGATTCAATGTGGAGACAGTGGAATACAAGAACATTAGCTTCACCGTATGGGATGTTGGTGGCCAGGACAAGGTAAGAGCTTCTGTTSTTTGTTTTAAAGTCATATGCAGGAACTAATTGTATTTATGGATTTTGCTTCTTACCCACATAAGCTCTTTCCATTTCCTCCTTTCTTTGTTTTCTTTTTCTTATGTTTCTGTTAATTGGTCAGCTCCAAATATGTATATGGCCTTTTATCACTGGAGAGAGCCTATGGCTGAAGTGTGGTGTCAATCTAACTAATTAACATTCTATGCTTCTTGTATAGATTCGTCCTCTGTGGAGACACTACTTCCAAAACACTCAGGGTCTTATTTTTGTGGTGGATAGTAATGAYAGAGATCGAGTTGTTGAGGCAAGGGATGAGTTACACAGGATGCTGAATGAGGTATGTTATGATTTTAATAATTGGTGTTATATTTGTGCGCATGACATATTTATAGAAGAGGAAGGTGCTAGTTAGCTTATTGATAAAGTTTCTGGCTGGTTGTAATGGAGACCTGGGATTGAATCCTGCTTTCATAAGGGTTAGGGGATTTTTGGATTTGGGAGAGGGCTGGCTACTCCCATTTTATGGCCCATTCACCTAGCCATAAAAAGCATATTTGTAAAAATGAATTACTGATAATTAAAAATAAAAAAACTATCAATATGAATTTGCAGCCTCTTCTATAATAGAAATTTCTCTTAATTCAGTTATATKTCTTCATTTTGTTTTATTTATGTCGTCTGCTTGATTTTGTCTTCTTGGCCATACAAGCGGAGGGGCTCGCAAAAGCTAAATTATTGTATATGAAA